TATTTCTCAAGATGCAGACGAGAATATAATCTTCTGGGCAAAGAGACTCTGTTATCATATTCACAAAACACTAATTGGTGATCATTCTCCCCTGAACATGGGTGAAGGCTGTTGCAAGTGGTTACGAGAACTCGTTGGTGATGAGACGAAGGAACAACAGATTGAAGAGGTAATTCTTATTCCCTTATTACTATTCTATTGAGCTATATAGAGAAAGAGCGAAGCTGTCCGCTTCTTCATGATAGGATCGGGAGGAGCGGGCAAAACCACTGTTATTCGTCAATTGAAATGTCTGTGTAAGGATAGTCCTAAAGATTATAAGGTGAGTGTCCTTAAAGGGTGTGGAGGGACTCCTCTGTTGTTTAAGGCATACAATCCAAGTTGGCATTTGATCGAAAAGACTGACATATTCTCTCAAATAGAGTATGACTTGTTCAAGAAACGCATTCGACAGAACATCTTGTCTTCCATTAACAACTTGTGCCAGGTGTGTAATGAATTCTCTTAGTGTCGTATGAATCTTTGAATGTTAGCAAAGTGAACTGTGGGGCTATCCTATGAACCACGAGCTTGTCGAAGAAGTCAAGATGTTACAAGCTGAATTTGATTTAAGTGTAATTGATGGGGGATATGTAGAACAGCAATATACTGACACGATCGTTGACGATCTGGTAACTCTCATCAACAATGAAAGCGTTAGTTCATTTGGTTCTTCGATTGTAACCTCAACGAATCTCTTTTTAGATCAATAAAACTTTGAAAAGATCTCATCAGATGCTACCTCAATATAGAATAGAAGATGGAACACGGCATTTCCTTAATGAAAATGATATCCGGAGGATATTTGCAGATAACACAGTCTTAACCAGTTTGGATATTGTGCATTCACGTTATCCCACAACTGGAATCCAAGATTTTCGTTTCGGTATCAAAGGAATGAAGATTCAGATTCATGATATGGGTGGTCAAGTCACAGAGCTTGTAAGCTACTACCTTTCAACTTCTATCATTGCATGTTTTATTTACAGGTGAAACTACCACAGTTCATAAGTCAATGGTTCATGAACACTCATGATAACAACTTCGTACTGTTTGTCGCATCTATGGCTGATTTCAACTTGGTGGATGAGTCGAATCCTGAATTCACAGTTATGGACAGAAGCATAAAGACGTTAAGTGTTAGTCTTTCATATCATGAACCTCTCCTACACATACTTGTCTTTCCAGATTATATTAGACATGCCGATTGTGAAAGAATGCAGTCTGCTCATATTTTTAAATAAAACAGATCGATTCAATGAAGTAGTTCGGAATCTGCTTGTTACTCCCGAAGGTCGAGCCGAGATTTTGAAATATTTAGGAAGCGGACTGGACTCAAGTAAGTCATTCAAACTACGCTTCCCAAACACTACTTCATAATGGTTATAGAGAAGAAAGCAAAAGTCGAAAATGGGACGATTGAGGTTGAGGATTTGCACAAAGCCATAGATAGACGATTCCAAGAAGAAGCCGTGAAATCAAAGAGGAAAACAGGCGTGTATACGAAGTCGGTAGAGCTGTTCTAAGTATGTTTTTGATTAATCTACTTGCAGATTCACTAAAGCTGTTGATCCGAAAATGATGAGCGCCATATTTGGAGCTATCGAATGCGAAATCGTGGCAAATATAGCAAAAACGATTTTTACTTGAGTACTCACAAACCTATAGGTTAGTGAGGTTTTCGAACTGGTTCATCTGTATTACAATTAACTGTCATCTGATTAAATTATTTTTTCTCATTTCATGAACGAAGGCTGTCTCCTAGCAAGCGACGTACCTTAAGAGAAAATTTATAAATCCAGTATCAGTAGCTTCAAATGGACGCCGAAATAGTTGTCGAACTAAGATTTTCATGAGATTAGTGCTTGTCATTTGCGTTACAAAAGTAAGGAATGAGAATACATGAACAAATGATTTTTTAGCAATATTTATTCATTCATAAAAACACGAAAAATCACAAAGCAAAATGATTTTCAAATCCTTTCTTGTTTTTTGTTAAAACTTCAAACAGATCTTCAACATAACTATTCTTGTAGATTTCTGCTAGTTTCATTCGCTAAAACTTAGTTGATTAAAATGATTAAAAAGAATAAAATTTACGGTATGTTTCTGCATGTTTGCACTTTGGAGGAGTAGCCCTACGTTGCCTGATTTGCTTTGCTATAACTATTGAAGAGTTGTTCTTTTATGTGGAGTGCCATCATTCGATCAATGGGCAATTCTTTCTCGACAATTTCCATAAACCTAAAAATAATAATCCAAATAAATAACTTTTTATTTACCTCATGACGTAGGGTAAGGATAACTTGACGTTATCCACACTCAAATTATTCTGCGTCCACCCTTCTGAATGAAACCTAAAAAAAACAATTAAAAATAACATAAACAATAATTATATATATCTTACCTATATGCATGTGTCCACCCGTTGTTTATTTCATCAGCCAATTTGATATCAACATTTTTTATTACAATGTCACACAGTTTCTTGAACTTTCTATAGTTCCACGGGTTAGCTAAGTGCTCTGGAACAATCTTGAAATCATTAGCTTTTTCAAGCCTCTGGACATATTGTATCAGTGCGAGTTTGCAGCCCTAGAAATTTTTTAATAAATATTAAAAGTCTAAGCAATAATGCTATTAACTTCCAAGGCATTGATTTACATTGAAAATTAAATTTCAAAAATACATACCTGAAAAGTTTTTTCGCTCGCTTGGGCGGTGTCGTTTTCTTCCAAGTAACCAGTTGCCTTTTCTTTCAGCATGTTGACTGTGTAGATGAGATGAGTGTCGGAAAGCTAAAAATACATCGAGTTTTTTTATGTGAATTACATGATTGTCATAAAAACGTTTTGTAACTTTGTTTATTAACCTATTAGCAGAGCTTAGCGCGACTCGCTATGCGGGTCGGGATTTCATAAACAGAAGTAAAAATCAAAATGCAAAAGTTGAACAAACGGACGGAATCACTTTTTTGTTTTATGCTATAGGATTAAAAGCTATTAAAATAAATATGGCTTACCCCATTGACATGACGTACACTTTGTAACAAGCGGTTTCGAAAAAATAGAAGCATCTTTGTGAAACACCTAAAACATGGTAAGTTACAGAAAAGAAATAAAAAACAAAAACCCCCACTCTCAAGCTCCGCCCATTAAACTGTGAGCGCATTGCTTACTTTATGAAACGAGTTGCGTGCGCTTGGTAGAAAAAGGAAGAAAGTGATGAAATGAGAGAAAAGTTACCAGACTCAACAATTTTCTTCTCAAAAATTTTCTATTTTTCTTGCATAAATTATCCTTTAAAGTCGAATAACTTGCTTCAAACTAGAGGTAATTCGTTCATTTTCAAAATACATCCTTTTGAGCTGGGTACTATTTTGTGTTTTCTTTAAAAACTACAAATATTAGGTTTTGTCATTCTTTCTTCAGGAATGCAAAAGCTGTGCTTAGAATGGCAGTTGAAAAGGCTTAAAGATAAGGATGCTAACTAGTTTATGTTTTTCGAAAATCAATTGTACTTCATCATTTTTCGTTGTTCTAAATAAATAAAATGAACCAAATACATTGTTTCAAGTGTAAGCAACGTACAAAGTCAACTGAAGTTACAAGAATCCTTACCAAAAATAATCGAAATATGATCAAATCGATCACCAACAGTCTCAGTCAATGGATGAAGCTAATGAAGATGTATTTCTGAACATCCAGAATCATTCAATACAAAAGATTTGTTGGAATCCACTTGAGAATCACTTAGCTGTGG